TTCGCTGAGATATTTCTGTGAAATGTTTTGCTTATTTGTTATTTGGTTGATTTTAAAATGGGGACATTACTCTTACAAATATTTAGATGTTTGATGCCTACCTTAACCATGGTTATCTTGTTGAATTCTTTGTTCACTGCTAGCTTTGCTTTCATGTTTCTTTTGAGGATTAAGGCCTGAAGATCAGCTGCTGAACTAAAAGACAACATTTACAGGTAAAACCTGTTTTTCACAATTAATATGTAAGCTATTTTGTAGCAAGTACTGAACATACACTACCGTTCAAAAGTTTGGGGTCACATTGAAATGTCCTTATTTTTAAAGGAAAATCACTGTACTTTTCAATGAGTATAACTTTTAACTAGTCTTAACTTTAAAGAAATACACTCTATACATTGCGAATGTGGTAAATGAGTATTCTAGCTGCAAATGTCTGGTTTTTGGTGCAATATCTACATAGGTGTATAAAGGCCCATTTCCAGCAACTATCACTCTAGTGTTCTAATGGTACAATGTGTTTGCTCATTGGCTCAGAAGGCTAATTGATGATTAGAAAACCCTTGTGCAATCATGTTCACACATCTGAAAACAGTTTAGCTCGTTACAGAAGCTACAAAACTGACCTAGCTTCCTTTGAGCAGGTGGGAGATTTGTACAGGGTAAAAGGGATTCTGAATAAGGAAGGCTACCACTCCATTTTGCAACGTCATGCCATACCCAGTGGACAGCGCTTAATTGGAGTCAATTTCATCCTAGAACAGGACAATGACCTTAAACACATCTCCAAATTGTGCAAGAACTATTTAGAGCAGAAGCAGGCAGCTGGTGTTCTATCGTTAATGGAGTGGCCAGCGCAGTCACCAGATCTAAACCCCATTGAGCTGTTGTTGGAGCAGCTTGACCGTATGGTACGCAAGAAGTGCCCATCCAACCAATCCAACTTGTGGGAGCTGCTTCTGGAAGTGTGGGGTGCAATTTCTCCAGATTACCTCAACAAATTAACAGCTAGAATGCAAAAGGTCTACAATGCTGTACAGTAATTGCTGCAAATTGAGGATTCTTTGACGAAAGCAAAGTTTGATGTAAAAAAAATCTTATTTCAAATACAAATCATTATTTCTAACCTTGTCAATGTCTTAACTCTATTTTCTATTCATTTCACAACGTATGGTGGTGTATAAGTGTGACTTTTCAGGAAAACACAAAATTGTTTGGGTGACCCCAAACTTTTGAACGGTAAATTATATATGGAGTTCCTTGAAAAATGTTTGATAATCTGGTATTTTCTAATTTAATATTGCCGAATCAGTTGCCTGTGACAGACTGGCGACATGTCTATTGTGTTTCCCGCTTCTCACCAATTAAGATAGTCATCGGCATCTCGCAACCCTGACAGAATAAGCAGGAGAAGATGGATGGATGGATGGATGGATGGATGGATGGATGGATGGATGGATGGATGGATGGATGGATGGATGGATGGATGGATGGATGGATGGA